CGGGCATACCTCTAGCAATGGTCACCCGAGAAACTTCGATTCTAATGATCGGACCCCAAGGGACAAGCGGAATGACACATGTCATCAGTGTGGAAAACGCGGACACTGGGCGAAAGAGTGTCGCGGAGGTTCTGGAAACACGCGTGGTGCTGAAAATTCATCTAAAGCAAGGAATTTTCACAAAAAAGATTGGAAACCGAAGGTGAATCAGGTTGTCCACATAAATGCCATCGACTCTACTCGCAAAGACGTCGAGATTTCCATCCAAGGAATCGATTTTACGTTGCAATTAGATACCGGAGCAGCTGTAACGATTATTGATGATGCTGTGTGGCATAAACTGAAATGCCCTCAGTTACAAAAGACGAATATTCAACTACGCGCTGCAAACGGCAGTCCAATTGACGTGAAAGGGTCCTTTGACACTAAATTTGAAGTGAAAGGCATTGAAGGGCACGGCCGATGCTTTGTGACGAACAACATCCGGTTGATGGGACTGGATTGGATAAACCAGTTGCCTCAATTCGCTTCGTGTTTCGAAGAATTGTGTGTGAATAAGGTACAAGTGAAGCCTTCTCATCTGGAGAAAGAGCTTGTCGAGAAATACCCAGCTGTTTTCAAGGATGGTCTTGGTTTGTGCACTGTTGCAAAAGCCGAATTGCAGCTAAAAGCAGATGCACAACCAATTTTCTTTCCATTTCGACGTGTTGCATTTTCAATGGAAGCAGCCATTGAACAAGAACTCCAGCGACTTGTTGATTTGACGGTTTTAAAACCGGTCACTTACAGTCAATGGGCAGCACCGGTCGTTCCAGTCAAGAAGAAAGACGGCTCCTTGCGACTGTGCGGTGATTTCTCCACCGGGCTGAATGATGCGTTGAAAGACTACCATCATCCTCTTCCAACCGCGGAAGAAATTTTCACAAAGCTCAACGGTGGACAAGTGTTCTCGCAGATTGACCTGAAAGATGCTTACTTGCAAATCGAGGTTGAGGCTTCCAGCCAAGAATACCTAACGATCAATACGCACAAAGGTCTTTTTCAATATCAGCGATTGATATGTGGAGTAAAAACTGCACCCGGTATTTTCCAGAAAATAGTGGATAATTTGATCGCAGGCCTCGACGGGACTGCTGCCTACTTGGATGATCTGTTGATCACCGGCCGAAACCAAGAGGAGCACGACGACAGAGTCCGTCAGTTGTTTGAACGAATCCACCAGTACGGATTGCGCGTCAAACTTGAAAAATGTTCCTTCGGCCAGTCCTCGGTGAAATATCTTGGCTTCATTCTTGATGCGCAAGGCCGAAAACCGGACGGCGAAAGGACGGCTGCGATAGCAAAATGCCACGACCAACCTGCCTGAAAGAAGTTGAAAGTTTTCTGGGCATGGTTTCATTTTACCAGTCTTTTATTCCTCGCATGCGGCAATTGCGCGCTCCGCTCGACGAGTTGAAAAGAAAAGACGTCAAGTTCATCTGGCACGAGGACTGTGAAAGAGCGTTCCAGTCGCTCAAGGAAATCGTGATTTCCGACTTGTTACTTTGCCATTATGACGCCAAGTTGCCGATTGTCGTCGCCGCTGATGCCAGCGAGCAGGGACTTGGGGCAGTCATCACACACCGGTTCGCGGATGGCACTGAAAAGGCTATCGCGCATGCTAGCAGAGCATTGACCGTGGCGGAGAAAAACTACAGCCAGATCGAAAAGGAAGGCTTAGCCCTCATTTTTGCGATTCGCCGCTTCCATCGATACATTTATGGAAGACGCTTCGTACTTTTGACGGACCATAAGCCCCTTTACCAATTTACGGGTCAAAGAAAGGCATCCCACAACACACCGCAAATCGCTTGCAAAGGTGGTGTTTACAACTAAACAATTACGATTTTACAATTGAATATCGTAATACTACCAAATTTGGTCAAGCCGATGCTCTTTCCCGTCTGATTCCGCCGAAATCGGATCCCGAAGAAGATGTCGTTATTTCGCAGATAGAAGTCGACATCACGGCCGTTTTCGAGGAACAACTTTGCCGAATCCCAGTTTCGCACAAGGAAATCGCGTCGCATATTGAGCAGGATTACTTCCTCGCAACCGTTGTTGAATCCCTAAAAAGTGGAAATTTTCCGGACTGTTTACCAGGCTCGTCGTTGTACGCCTATAAAAGTCTAATTTCCAAATTATCGATTCATCGCAACTGTTTATTTCTCAATGAACGAGTTGTAATACCGAAAAATTGCAAACAAGAATCCTCAAAATGCTACATGAGGGCCATCCTGGCCAAACGCGAATGAAATTGTTGGCGAAACAATCAGTTTATTGGATTGGCATGAATCAGGACATCGACCGCATCGTGAAGGAATGCGAAGGCTGTCAGAAAGCCCAAAAGATGCCTGCAAAGAATGAATTGACTCCTGGCCTACCACAAATCGTCCAATGGAGCGCGTGCATATCGATTATGCCGGCCCAATTGATGGCAAAATGTACTTGGTCGTTGTAGACGCATATTCCCGTTGGCCTGAAATCTTCGAGAATAAAGTCGCGACAAGTCGCATGACGATTTCCCAGTTGAGAGATGTATTCTCTAGGTTTGGTGATCCGGAAACGCTCGTTTCGGACAATGGAACTCAATTTACTTCTAAGGAGTTTGAAGATTTTTGTAAGGAGCGTGGAATAAACCATATCCGCACACCGCCGTTTCATCCCCTAATCAAACGGTTTGGCCGAGCGCTTTGTTGATACCTTCAAAAGAGCTTTGAGCAAAGCTATTGGTATCACAAACGCTGAAACTTTGCAAACCTTTTTGCGTACATATCGGTCCACTCCTTGCCCTTCTTCGCCAGAACAGTTCTCTCCGGCTGAAATGTTTATCGGGAGAAAACTTGTGACTCCACTTGCTCGGTTGGCTCTAGCACAGAGCAACAGCAAGCATAACGCAAACGCCGTTCTTCAAAAAAGGGAGAAGAATGCGATGGTTGAGCAGTACAACCGGAGGCATGGCGCACGAAAACGTTCTTTTGCAATCGATGACACAGTCTGGGTTCGAGACTATCGAAAGCCCAGTAAGCCTGTGTGGATCGAAGGACGTATTTCCAAAGTATCTGGAAAAAGTTTATACGAGGTTGAAATTACCTCTGGAGAGATTTGGCGCCGGCATGCCAATCAATTGCGAACTCGTTTTGTTCGAGACGCATTACATGAAATTCTGGACGAATTTGATATTCCCAGTAATACGAGCATCAACGCCGAATCTTCACTTGATGAGCCCGCCGAACTTCATGAAGCTGCCACGACCACCGACAATCCTCCTCATCCAGTACCTGTTGTGCCCCACCCCAATGTTCCCCATCAAAACGCTCACCGGCCACGAACGCCACGAAAGTCACCAACGAGATCACCGGCTCGAGCACCAGCAACTCGCCAACGATCTCCTCAACTGCTTCAAGATGCCCTTGATCAGCAACACCACGGACAAGATGAAGTCCCTCAAAATCATCAACAAGTTGAAGTCAAACCTGCACCCAAGAAGAAGACGACGACTCTCGGACCGATCCTGGATCACAAGCGCATCCGACGACCGACTACCCGTTACCAGTGAAGCGCCCGCGAAGCCGTCATCATCACCGTCAAGTCCACGCCATCGACCACTTCATTTCGCGAAGGGAGATGTTGAGAGAAGAAGCAAAAGCTGATCCGAATCGTTTTGCCCTGTATGCGCTACGACGCAGTACTCATCCCTCCGTCCCCTTGTGCACCCTTTCCCCGAGCCACAGAGCCCCTGTGATTTTCTCTCTTCCCACTTTTCCCTGCTTGTTCCGCTGCTTGTTTTTTAGGTCGTTTTACCGTTGTGTAATAAAAGTTGTTCTCTCTTCTTTCGTAACTATTCAGGTGTCAAACGGTAAGTGCGCAAGGTGTTCCCTTGGCACTCTCCAGCACAAGAACTCACGAAGAAGTACATCTACAACAGTTTCAATGCAGTTCGTAGGCTTGCCTAACTTTTCGTACCCTTGCGTTACGTAGCCTTACATAGCCTTACCTTGCCTTGTGTGGCGTTGCGTAACCATACGTAGCCTTGCGTAGCTTTGTGTAGTGTTTGGTAGCGTTGTGTAGCGTTGCGTAGTCTCGCCTAAACTAGCATATCGTCAACCGTGGCGAAAAATGCGAAATCCGCTTTCCCTGTTCCTGCTGCTTGATGCCGATTTTAATGACCAAGGCCGCTATATTTTGTGTATTTCCAAAAACCGCGAAAAACCTCGCTCCGGGACCCGCTAATGGCCAATTTACCACCCATAGCTGGATGGTGTATGCGAGTTTGTTCTGTGCTGTGACGCCGTGACGCCTATTATTTGCCCCCGGCCCTTTTCGCTCATATGCTAACCTTTCCGCAGCGCTTTTGTAGATACCTGCGAAGTTCTCAAAAAAATAGAATCGAAATTCAAAATCGAAATTAGTGTATTTGTATCGCGACCATGTTGGCACTGGTGTCGTTGAATCACGAATTCTCCCAGCAACACTTTGATCGGAAACAACCGACGAAAGCAAGCAAAAACGACAGATGAGAAAGCAGCGATGCACCACAAGTATATTAGTATATTAATGAATTTTTGGAAGGTTTTATAGGGAATGCATGTCCCTCTCGCTCTCGCTTTTCGTTTCCCTCCCTTCTCCCTTCTCTCTCGTTATCTTCTACCTCACTCGCTCTCTATTGATCTCTATCTCTCTCGCTCCCTCTCCCTCTCTCGCTCTCTCCCCTCGTTCTATCTCTCGCATTTCTCTATTTCTCTCTCCCCCTCTTTCTCATATCTCTTCTCTCTTCTCACAGCTTTAAAACAATTTTCTTCGGTGCTTTTGTGAGATGCACTCCCCGTTCATTTTCATGCTCCTCGCCACGTGCATTTATTTTTTGTGGAAATAAGCTGATTTAAGCAATGAAATTCCCTTAATTTTCCCAATTTCCAGGCGCACACCCCTCGACACTTGGCCCCCAGAAACGTTGAACAATGACTGTCCCGAACGGGGGAGCTCCACATGACAATGAGAAGGATGATGCTCACGACAAGTTGCCCGAGATCCACCTAGCAGGTAGGCTTTGGAAAGCTCTTTAAGGGGATTGGCAATTTAAAAAGCACCCCTCTCGTCACTAGGTGTCGACTGCTACGGTGTGACCATATGACACGTAAAGTCTCATATTTACGGCGGCTCTTAAAAAGCTTCATACTGAGGCGAGGTCAGCTTTTGACGAGTCGTTTGGAGTGGACAATTGGGTCGATTTTTAGCACTTGTCTAGACCTAGTGAATGTAAAGGGTAGATTTCCGCGCATTCACGTCCCTTCAAACCGTTACTTCTAGCCGATGGCCTCCCACCGATGCACCACTATATCAAACACCACGAGGACCACGGCCACGAGAACGGCGCGTTCGATGATGACGGCCTGAAGTCGCCGCCGTTGAGCAGAAGAGGTAATTTTGGAGCTCTCTATTTAAAATGCGATAAATTCGATATAAAACATATATAAATCTAAAGGTTCCGAGGATACCTTTGGGTCCGACATTGCATCTCTGCCAGAACTCGGTAAAAACGGGCTTGACCGCTTGCCGAAAATTTTGGGTTCAGCGGGCGGGATTGCATGATTTTTGGTTGGTACGTCAGCAATAAATATACTTCAAGAATAATGCTTATGAATGTCCTATTTTTAAGCTATTTTTACCAATTTCAGCAATGAAAAAATTACTGAAAATATGGCTTGATCCAAATGTCCTTTAGGTTCCTTGGCATTATCAGGGGGAGCAACTTTTTATTTTTATTTAAAAAACCAACAAATAGCGATTTTGCGACAAAATTTCTTGGATTTTTCAAAATATTCTATAATGGTTTTTAGATAGTTTTTGACTAGACATATAGTTAAATTTTCCAAAACCATTCTTAAGATATTTACAATTATTTTACTAGACATGTCCTAGACTTACGTGAAGAACCCCCCCCCGCTAACGCAAAAGCTCTTTCTTCATTTTAAAGTACACTTGCTTCATAGCAGTTGTTTAACCCGAAGACATGCTAATTACGTCGATTTTCGTACATGATTTTAGTATAACGATTTATCGCAAAATTGTGAATATTTTTAATCCAAACACAATAATTATGCTTCATTGTGTCCATATTTTGTTATTACAATTTACTGTAAAATCCTACCTTATATAATTTTGGCGTGTATCTTTGTGTGTGTGTGTGTGTGGATGTCAGTTTCGAGGCCCGATTTGAGGGCCTTCCCGTGCATAAAACGCCCTAATTCTCCGTCACCCGGGGGAATCGACACTCCTCTTTCCGATGGAGCTTTCAGAATCCCGATAAAATACAAGTTTACAAAGTTAAAGCCGGTTTTATTCATTTTTGGGGGTAATTTGCATAATGTGAAAAATACAAATTTGCTCATTCTTGCGAGTTGCACGCGCGCGTGTGGTGGGGTGGGGGGTCCGAAGGACCCGAGCTGCCGGAAAGCCAAATTTCTCATGCAAATGCACCATTCCAGCGCCCAAGGCCCGCGAAGCGGGTTTTGGGCGCTGGTTCTATCAATAATCTTGAAAATTGACCCCTCATCATCACCCCCACTAGACCCCCATAAAATCCGGTCTACCGGCCATAATTTAGACAGAGCCCCAGGTCGTAAAATATCGCCCTCCCTCGCCCGACGGCGTGAAGCCCAATAAAGTTCTGCCGTCTCCTCCTCATTGCCGTTCTCTACCACCTTTAAAAAGGGGGGTGTCGAAGCGGCTAGGGGGGACAATGGCCGACGCCGCCCATATGGCGCTACCAGATCGGCCAACAGCTTGTGATAAGAAATTAAGACGGGGGATTAGTTGGCACCTCACAACGACCGTCTGAAAAAGGGGGGCGCACACCAAAAATGACCGAAAAGTACCTTCAGCTGGGCTGGGATTGGGATGGGAGAAATTTAGTTAAAAACTGCTAAATTAGACTAAACTAAACAAGAGAGATAAAGAGAGAAAGAGAGAGAGAGAGAGAGAGAGAGAGAGAGAGAGAGTGAGATAGAGCGAGAGAGGGAGAGAGAAGGAAAGAAAGAGAGAAAGAGAGAGAGAAAGCGAGTGAAAGAAAGCTAGTGAGAGAGAGCGCGAGAGGCAGCTAGAAAGAGCCAGAGAGAGAAAGAGAGAGATAGAGAGAGAGATAGAGAGAGAGAGAGCGAGAGAGAGGGAAAGAGCTAAACAAATACTAATTCGAAGCTTGCTTTTCAAGATCTTGAACCGAAAATTTCAATAACCAGGCCGACAAAACCCTAGATTTTACCGGTAGCTAAAAGGAAATTTACATTTCTTCAACTGGCTTCAAGGTCCCTTTCCTGCAAAAAATATGTTTAAATAAATCTAACCCCGCATGAAAAGCTTCTCGGCTATTTTTTTATTAATTTAAAATAAGTAATCTTCTTTTTGCAGGAACATGGATGAAAACCCGATCCCGCCGAAACTCGTTGAAATCGCTGCGATCCCGGGCCAGCTCGATCGTCGAGTCGATCAAGGATGTTATGTCCAAGGAGACGATTATGACCATTTGGATTCAGGTAATTTTTTACACTACTAAACGTTTTAAAGTATCTCCCGATACTTACTTAAATTTTTTTAGAGCGCCCTGCCCTTTCTGATCGCTGGTCTCGGTTCTATTGGCGCCGGTGTTGCCCTGAATCAAGCACAGCAATTTCCGCTTTTTGTGTAAGTAAACTAACTTGAAGATTTCAACTTAATTATTAGTAAAGTGTATTAATTATAATTAATGCAGTGTTTCGTCTATTAATTTGTATATTTAATAAGGCATCTCTTACAGAAAAATCCCACAAATGATCGCCCTATCCACCCCGATTATGGGCTTGAAGGGAAATTTGGACATGACTTTTGCGTCGAGATTGGCAACTATGGTATGTTTCGAAACGTTATAAACCCCTGAAAACGTAAGGTACCCTCGCTAAGGTATCTATGCCTTAAATTGAAATACCTTACCCAAAATGCCTTATTTTTAATCTTTTAGAGTCACCAAGGAAAACTTGACACATGGGATGGCATCAAAAAAAGAGTACCGATCAATATGATGTTGGTACAGGTAAACGATACCTTTACTTACCTTAAAAATTATACATTTTTAGGCTCAAGCCATGGTCATCTCCTTTTTCGCCACGGCGCTTACTTTGGCCCTTTCTGCTATTCAGAATGCAGTCGGCGTTGCCGGGGCACCTTCGGTAAGTTTAGTTCGCAAAAAGCAAAAGATTTGGGCTGAGCCGGGGATTGAACCCGGGACCTCTCGCACCCTAAGCGAGAATCATACCACTAGACCACTCAGCCGGCGGAGGGGAGGAGCCGGGAGAAGCTTACATGCCATAGGAGCGTAGCGGAATCAAAATCTTCAAAACGCAAAACTTTGGCTGAGCCGGGGATTGAACCCGGACCTCGCACCCTAAGCGAGAATCATACCACTAGACCACTCAGCCGGCGGAGGGGAAAAGCCGGGAGAAGCCCATGAACGACATAGGAATGCAACGGAATCGAACATTTTCAAAAAGCAAAAATCCGGGCTGAGCCGGGGATTGAACCTGGGACCTCTCGCACCCTAAGCGAGAATCATACCACTAGACCACTCAGCCATGTGGGATGGCAGATGGGGGAGGCTTATGAATCCCCGGGAACCTACCAGAAGCCGGTCGCCAAAATCGAAAAGCTCGTTTTTGCTGGCTGAACATCGAAATGAGGGCAGGAGAAGCCAAGGAGAGCCAAAAAAAGAGGGAGAGGGAGAGAGTGAGAGTGAGAGTGAAAGGAATCCCCCAAAAATGAGCAAACAAAACGTCATCTGAAACAACGAGGACACCAAAAAAGCATACTAGGCGAAAATTAATCTAAAACGACTAAAAAAGTAGTTTCTCAATTGAAAAATGAAATTGGACTGATACTGCTTTATTTAATTACAAGTACTTTTCAAATTTGATAAGAGAATAGGTGATTACCGCCGACGTTACCGGCTAATTGGAATGTAAAACATTTATTAAAACCCTTAAAAACTAATTAAGAACTTAGATTTTTAAAATCTATGCGTGAATTTTTAAGTTTTTACAAGGAAAACAAAGAATTTACGTTTTTGGACCAGCAATTTACAAAAAATGTCTCGTAATTTTCAAATCCGCATGAAGTTCGGCTTTTAAAACGTTGGAAAAGTTAGATAATGTTAAACTAAACCTAAAACGGTTTTATTAAAGCTACGACCATCGTTTTAACAAGGCCAAATCCTCCTTTTCCAGATGGATTCCATTGGCGTGCACATCCCGCTAATGATCGCCACCGGCCTAATGACAATCTGCACGTCTTGCGGCGTGATGGACACCGTCATGGCCACCATGGTTATTGTTTCCAGGTTTTAAAAGATAGATTCAATTGATAGTGATGATTTTAGACGCAAAAACGTGAACCCCGACAACATCACCGCCCCCATTGCCGCGTCGATGGGCGATCTAGCGTGCATGTGCTTGCTGGTAAGTTTTGTAGGCTAAAATGAAAACTTTTAGCGATAAAAATACGTTATATTACTAATTAAGTTAGGTTAATACCTATTATAACGTATGGGGGTTATTATAGAACGTTTACTTGGTTTTTGCGATGCGAAAATTAATTTAATTTTTTTATGATGTTAAGGCGGAAAGGAAAACATGAGGTGTTTCGCTCAAATTTACCTAATTCTTGGCGTAAAGTATGCTACGCTTAATTAGCAAATTCTACTGTGCAAACCGTGCAACAATTGCCAACTTGCTGATTTTTGCTCGTTTCACTTCCGCTACGATACGCGCCAAGTGACACTTGAACTCATATCGGCCTAGGGAAAGGGCTTTTCGAATCGCTAAACCCGATTAGAAGTAAAAGCAGATG